TAAAAAGGTAATTATTGATCGTTTCACGCCAGTGTGAAAACCGGGGTAGTGTTTCTAATTTTCCGGAAAGATTCAACTTTTCCGAAAATTTCCTGAAAAATAGGAAAAATACAGAAAAATTCCAGAAAAATTGAAAAATTTGGAAAAATAGTAAGTTTTGCTGCAAAAATGTCAGAAAACGTGGTAAAACGGTGGGGAAACTTGTGTGAGGTGCAGGAACAGGAAAACAATTAACCATTTTTAATATTTGCAGAAGTATTAAGGATTAAATGGATTCAAATCAACAAAATCAGAGTACGATGGAACAGTACAGGACAAAAGTACAGACACTACCTTACCTGTCTCCACTGTAAATCCAATGGCGATACTTTTGGTACCTTTTTTGGCGATACAATTAAGAATTGCCAGTAAACGGCCTTTCGGAAAAGTATTGCCCTCAAAACGGCAATTCACATCGCCAAAATTTGGCGATACTTTGGAGTATTGCCACAATTTGGCAATAAACGTTTAACAAATCAAGGGGACAAGTTCTTAGTTTAATGCCGTGGTTTTGGCAGTACCAAAAAGTATCGCCAAATTTTGGCGATACTTCTATGTATCGCCGTTCTGAAGGCAATACTTTTCCGTAAGGCCGTTTATTGACAATACTTAATTATCCACCCCTATCCCTATCCACATTGTGACATTTGCAGTCAAAATCAAATCTAGCGACGGCGACGAGATCGGCGGGGGCGAGTGAATCAATACTTAAAAGGTGGGCAGCGTAGCAACTCCTTTTAGCTTACCTGACACTTGTGATGGACTATTGAGACAACAGCTGACATTCGCCAGACAAGGCAACTGCTTATACCGATGCACTCACGTTTGTGTCCATCCCCCTCACTGCCTTCTAGAAGCTTCAGCAGACGACCACAACCACAAAAGCCACGAAAAACAATGTTACCAAGTCACTGCGACTGACTTTTGTGTTCAAAAATAACAGGAATTCAGCGATTTTGTCATGTGACTTCATTAACATGCAAAATGCGCATTTTTTGAATTTTTTCATCTTTTCCGGGGCTCTTGGAAAAATACGGAAATTTTCAGAAATTTTCTGCATTTTTCCCCGGAAATTTTCCGCCATTAGAATCACTAAACCGGGGCAAAAAAGGAAGCATTCATCCGCGCCAGGAGCGCGAAAATGGAAAAGTCCTCGGCGGAAGATTTTCCTATAGTCAACAGAGATCAGGTCGCGTGCTGGGGGTGTTTGAACATCCATTTTTTGTTATTGAAGATCCTGGCGAAGGTAGGTGTCCCCCATCCCATCTGGGCGGCGCGGGGCGGCGCGGGGCGGCCAGATCGCGGCATCAGATGGGGGCCCCGAGATGAGGAAGGGGCTGGAAAAAGGAGGGGGAGGGGCGGCGGGGGTGGGGCGGGTCATCCCGTCGCTCGATTATGCGTAAGCGGTTCTTGGAGGCAGAAAGGGGGTGGGGAGCTCGATCGGTTCGGGCTCCATGCAGTGCAGGCGGCATGCAAAGAGTCTCTTGCAGGCCACCGGGACAAGGCCGACTCTCTGTCGTCTTCGCACTAAAGGGTCGTCCCTGTACGGGTGCCGAAACGCTGTTCAGAATCAGTCTGGAGCACGCGCGGGCACTCCCCCCCTCCTCCTTTCCCCGCCAGTGCACCTGAACCCTTAGCACCCCTTCAACACCCAGGTGGAGCCCAACCACCAATTCAGAGCCCCCCCCCCTCCCCCAAGAGCGCCTGGATTTGATTCCGCCTGTCTCATCAAGACCGCTCCACCCCTTGTTATGATCCGCGCTGTCCCGCCCACCACAATGGCGCCAAAAATCAAAGCAAAACAGCGAGCCGGAATGGAAAATACACACGGAGGCGAGATAGTGCAGCAAAGCCGATTCTGTGGATCCGGTCGGACGTCCCCGCGGCGCACGGCCGTGGCACGGCCACACCGCCGGGGCCGGCCAGCGGGCCGAGTCCGAGGGTCGCTCTGTCTCTCTCGCACCTGCACGCGGCGCCCCGTGAGTGCGAAGGAGACGGAGCGACGAAAACGACTCTCGGAATCAGTCTGCCGCCCGGCCGGCAGCGCGGGGCATTTCGGAAGGCCGCGGCATTGTTATGGAAATTGGTCAAGTGTCCACAGCGCTCCATTCCGGAGGCATGAACAGGCCGCGATGCCTGTCTGCCGGCCGGGGAGGGGGGGGGGGTAAGAAAGGTCGCGCACACAAGCACGGCAAGCAGGCCGAGGCAGGCCGCCCCCGACTGCGCCGCAAACCGCCGCAGAGGGCCGCGCCGCGGGGAACAGCGCACCCCGCCCCAGACTCCGAGGGAACGTTGTCCGCCTCGCTCACACACCCTGGCCCCCGACAGCGGCGCGAGCGAGCGAGAGAGACAGCGACGACGAAACAACCCTGCGGAGTCAGTCGGCTGCTGGCTGGGGCCTGGTAGCCGCCCGCACACTGGGCCACGCTCAGCCACGCTGGCCCGGCACAGCGTGGATATGGCCTTATGATGAATATTTACGGCACGTTGGTGGGTTTTCAGCACGTAGGACCCACCCCACAGACCACAGCGGGCGGGCACTGCGGGGGAAAGGGTTACGGAGGGGGGAGTGGGCAGGTAAAAGTGGGAAGGGAGGCGATGCGAATGGAGAGTGGAAAGCGGAAAATGGCATGTCGAAAAAAGTGGAAGTCGAGAAAGCAAAGAGGGTAAGCGAAGAGGAAGGTCGGAAACGGAAAGTGGGAGGAGAAAAAAAGAGAGGTGGAAACGTGGGAGGGAGAAAAGTGGGAGGGGGAAAAAGTGGGAGTGGGAAAAGTGGGAGGAGAAAACTGGAAGGTAGAACGCAACAAAGTGGGAAGCAGAGCGTGGGAAGTCCAACGCATGAAAGTGAAGCGGGAAGTGGAACGAATGGGACGCGACGCGCGTCGTATTCGAGCGTATTGGGCCCGACGGGGCGGGGCGGCCGCGAAGGCGCCTTGCCGCTCATCGCCGCATCGATGGCTTGTCGCAACGCCTCCACCACTTGAGCGGCATTGTCACGGTTGCGATGAGTTCTGGAGAGGCGCGGTGCGGCGCGGTGCGGCGCAGGGGGAGGTGCGGCCGGAAAGCGTGAGGCGGTGAGGGGGGGGGGGGGGGGGGGGTTGAATGGACGGAGCGGCGCCCGGGCTCGTCGACCCTGACTGCGGAAGAAGGAATAAGATGAGTGAGGAGCGCTTTGAGGAGGGCGCGAACGCGCGAACGCCGCGGTCCAGAGGAGCGGAGGGGCGTTCTGGCGGCAAGCCGAGGCGAGCCAAGCCGACCTGTTTCATCCCGCTGCCATTCAATCTCTGTGCGGCGCGGACTGGCGGCGAATCCCCCTCGATCCTTTTCACTGATTCGCTCGGCGACTTCTTACACGCAATACCCACGCATGGGGGGCAGGCGGCGATGGCCTGGGGGATTGGCGTGTTGTGTCGCCGGAGATTCGACTGCGTTGGGAGCTTAAGAAGAAGGAATTTATTTAAATCGCAATTCCAAAGCAGCATTTGAAAATCCTTGCCAAAAGTGGAAGCAGTGTCTCCGGCCCTCCCCCGAGCGTTCATGACGTTCCATGGCATGATGAAGCTCATGCCGGCCGGCGCATGGCTGGGCCAGGGCTGGGCCAGGGCTGGGCCAGGGCTGGCGCATGCATGCCGGCTAGTGCATCGGCTGTGTGCAATCTGTATGCACGCCAAACACGTCTCCATATTGGGATCCCATCTACGTCTTCGCCCCTCCCCCACCCCACTGTTCCATCCTGCGCTTCCCTCGCTCTTCATCGTCTGCTGCTTCGCTGCATCCAAATGTGTGCCCCCCCCCCCCCCCCTCTGGGGCACCCCTCCCGAGGCCCCTTTGCCTGGGGCGCGGTGGACGCAAAGGAACTCGGCGAACCACTTTGTGATTCCGACAAAAGCGAACCGAAAAGCGAAATGCGACCCGCGGGACACTCTCAATATCTTGAGATATTAGTGCGCGGAGAAAAAAGAAAGACTCTTTTTTTGGTGATCCAACACCGCAGCCTGAGAAGTTCTGGTAAAAATACTTTTGAGCAGGAGAGTTCACCTACGCCCGCAGGCACTCAGCAAGGTCAAACCGAGGTCAAACACAACGCCACCCCTTAAGAGTTGCCGCGCTTGAACCTTGCGGAAAATCGGACTGCTTTCTAAGTTGCAAAAGAATCCCATCGCCTTTGGAAACGATTTCGTTGCCACAATAAAGGAGCACACACACAAATACAAAGCACCCAAAATTGTCGCGGAGGTTCAGGCAGTGTACCCGCCAGCGAACGAGGCGTTACGATAACGTCGTAAATTTCGTGACGTTCACGCTGCGGCCAGAGGGCTGCGACGATATTAACCAAGTTTCAGATTTGTTCCTCTGGCACTCCCCCTCCCCGCCGGCGTCCTCTGCGGTCAGCGTGTCCTCGAGGGCGCTACGCGGCGCGACGCGGCGCGACGCTGTCAGGCGCAGCAGGCGACGTCCCGTCGGCCCGTCTTGCAGCCAGCGGCGCGGAAAACACCACTTCCCCAGGACGTCGGTAGGCTGTCGCCGTCGTGGGCCCACACCGGTCCCGCACTGCATGTCGCCGCGGGGCACGGCGGCCCCTCCGAGGGCCCCTCCGAGGGCCCCTCCCCCCGCCGCGCCGCCAAGCGCCCCTCTGAGGACGCCTTTGATCAGCCGCGGCCCCAGTAATTCGGTTATTGGCCCCATCGCGTCGGCCACACGGCGCGGCCCGTGTTGGGCTGAGGGCCCATTACCATTTTGCCGCGCTTGCCGCGCTCCGCGTGCAGCGCCACAAAGAAGGTGGCGTGCACAATGCGTCCGCCACTTCGAACGGCGCAGCGATGTCGCAGTTTATATCGTTGCTTTGTCTCCCTCACAGCTCGTTTTTCAGCACTTCCGTAGTACATATTTGTCTGTACATTTTCCGTACAAACGTACGGAAGTTTTCATAGTGAAGGCCAAATTTTCGGCAGTGCTCTTACCCGTGACGGTGAGGTTGACGCGCGTGTTCCGGGTCTGCGCGGTGTGGAAGTCCACCCTGCAGCGGTACACGCCCGCGTCCGCCTCCCTGGCCGTGTCGATGGCCAGCTCGGCGGGCAGCCGCTCCGGCTTGAAGTCAGCGCGCGCCCCGAACACCAGCGGGTCGGACCAGCGCTTCGAGTTCTTGAAGCCTTCCCTGTTGTCCACGCTGCAACACACAAAAAAGGTGACACATCAGAAGAGCGTTGGTGTTTTCAAACAGTTTTTTCGGTTCGCCGGGGCTTTGCATGAAGGCGTCCACGGAACCTGGTATAACATGACCGAACTGGAAATTTATTCTGCTGCCTCGCTGCACAAAGTGCGCTGTATCGACTGTGTCGCCCGGCCCAGGTATGTCCGTCCACTCTTGCGTGGCGCTCGGCGCGCTTTGACGGCCGTTTGTACAACGCAGCAGAATCCACGCTGCATGGGGCGAGGGGGAAGGGGGGCCGCCACAACAAACCTCTCTGTGGCATTCCCGTGCAACACACTCAGCGCGTCGCGTCCCACCGGAGTGACAAAAAAGAGGGAAAAATCGAAAATGGCAAAAAAAACAGAGCACCGAATAATTGCGTTAGAGAGAAGCCGCACACCTGATGTGCTTTTACCGGCGCATGATTTGACGTAGCGGATGTGGCCGCTCGCCGAGAGTGGCCGCGGGAAAAGTGAAAAACCGATGACAAAAGCGGGACGAATGTGCCGCATTCATCACGCCAGCGTCGCCTTGGCTGAGGCCGGCTGTGGCGCCAATACGGAGGGACAGGCGCCAAAAACATAAACAAACGGAGCATCGGTGACCTGGCTAGGTCCACTACGTCGTCGATGAAAACAAACACACGCACGCGCGCGAACACACATCCCTCTGCCTATCAAAACCACAACATACATAAAAATTCCCTGAAAAGAAAAACACACACACACAGTGGAAGAGGAAACTGTAACGTGAAAGCGCTCTCTGATTGGCTGTTGGAGCGAGCGCGACGCGGCGGGACGGACGTCACCCGCCTGTCCGTCCACTGCCAGCGGAGCGGTGATATTATTGGCTGCGGCCTAATTGACGGCACAACGTCGCACTGAATAAAATACGGTCACATATTCGGTAAAGAGCAAATTGGGCGAATTTACTGTACATTACGCACACCCCTACACACACACACACACAGAGGCAAAATGTGGACGGAGGAAGACGAGGAGCAAATAGCAGCCTGTGGGAAGGCTCGTGAGAGCGAGGGGGAGCGGGTTCAAGGCCCACAGAAGGGAGTCGAGCCCAGGCGGGGCCCAGGCGGGGCCCAGGCGGGGCCCAGGCGGGGGGCAGGCGGGGGGCAGGCGGGGGGCAGGCGGGGGGCAGGCGGGGGGGAGGCGGGGGGCAGGCGGGGCAGGCGGGGGGCAGGCGGGGGGCAGGCGGGGCCCAGGCGGGGGGCAGGCGGGGGGCAGGCGGGGGGCCCAGCCAGGAAATACAGTAAAAGGGCGTTGAAATATGCAGTGCTTCATTAGGGGCTGCCGGACGACGCCGCCGGACAAAACCTTTTCGACTTATTGCCGCGCGGACCACAAGGCGGAGCGAAGGGCCGCTTCCGCGCTTCCCTCGCTCTGTCTCTCTCGCTCCGCTGCGGCGCGCCCCTCGAGTGCGAGAGAGACGGGGAGCGCCGTTCGAAAGCGGCGCCCGCAGGGCGAAGCAGCGCGCCGATTTCGAGCGGTCAGCGCCACCCCAAATTAATTTCGTCACCTCCCTTCACTAAAACGGGGCACGAAAAATAAAATAATTAACAGAGAGAAAAAAAAAGATCCCTGCCTCGCGGCCAAATTGAAAGTGAACGATTGTTGTTTCTTTTAACAGGGTTGCGGAGCGCCGCGGAGCCGGCAAAGGGAGATAAATTAGATTTTCGCATTTAATTTCAAGGTGGATAATTTTTGATTAGTCGGGAGCGGCCTGCTCACGCTCCTTGCGCGCGGGCATAAAAAGGACAGGTGCGAATTTGTCGATCCAGTACGCGCGGTACGCGGTGCCAGAGTGTGCTGCAGCCGCGGCTGTTAAAGCCGAGCGTGTGTGTGTGTGTGTGTGTGTGCGTGTACGTGTGAGGCACAGGGGGGAGAAGTGGTGAGGGTTCGAGGAAGCGGGAAATCTCAGGGTCGGCTGGAAGCGTGCCAGGCTGTCGAAACGCGTGTTGTGTGCGTGTGCGTCGAAGCAGTGTCACGTGTGTGTGTGTGTGTGTGCGCGCGCGCGCGTGTGTGTGTGTGAGCGCTACAGCCCCCACGCAGCGGTTCCGCCGATCGTCCTCGGGAGAATAATGATTAAGGTGTCGCAGCGTCGCACCGCGCCAGCACAGCAGACAGACAATCGGTCCCAATCAAGTCGGCAATGGGATCGCAGCAGACGGGGCTCGCGGAACTAGCAGTTTGTTCGTTCCACTTTCGGCCGCGCTTTCCACTCTGGAAAACGGTTTTGCCAACACCAAACACGGCCACTGTGCGCCCACCTGTGGAGGCGCTGTGTTGCAGGAGGTGCATTTCGGCAAAGTCATATTTCGACCGTGTTGCCAATTTCCTTCAGATATTCAAGATGTCGTTCTCGGTAGTGGCATTATCTTGATCGTGAATTTTAGTAGAATTTTGGGGTCGGGAAAAACAATAGCGGTCCTATCGGAACCTCTAAATATTTTTTTAGGGTCGAAAATGCATATTTTTTGTGGGCTGGTTGTCTGGTGCCTTCTTCTGGCGCTATGGGCAATCGGTTCGGCGTTGCGGCGTTGCGCAGATGGATGTATAGATGGATCGGCGCGCGGCGCGCTCGCGTTGATGAAAGGCGACGGCCTTGTCAACCGGCGCGTTGCTTCGCCAGCCCGGCCCGCCTCGCCCCGCCGCCAAAGGGCGCGGCCATAGAGCCGCCGAGGGCCGCCGAACTTTGTGATGAGGAAGGGTTGCGTCTCACCGGACAAAGGGCGGCAAAAGCAACGCGGCGAGTTGCCTCAAAGTTGGGATTAGAGTGCGGACCTGCCTGTTAGCCAGCCACCGGTGCAGGCCATTTTGAGAAGCAGACAAACAGGTCAATTTGCGGATCCCGTGTTCAAGTTTGGTATCAGTGTCACCGTATTTGCTGACTTTCGGAGGTCACTGCAAAATGCAGTCCAGCTGTGTTTGAAAGCCGCCCTCATGATCCTGGTTATCTTGAGACTCCCGCCACGGTAGTGTTTAAAGCACAGCTAGTTTGGTAGCAACAGTTTCACAAAGTTGGTCGAACCGTGATCGAACCGAAGGCGTGGTTTGTTCTGACTCTGAGCGTTCAAACGGTGATCAAAGAATAAACGTGAACTGGTTTCCAGGCCCCGACAGGCTTCCTTGCCGACAGACGGATAGTCACACGGAGGCGCGGCCTGCGTCTCACCGCACTCCCTCCGCCGCCAGCGAGCCGAGCCGAGCCGAGCCGAGCCCAGCCACCCTCCCGCTTTAGTTAGACGTGCGTGGTGCATATTTATGCGGCTCCCGACCGAACCGCAGTGAGCCAGCTGGAAGCACGCATACCCAACGAGCGAATGCGACCGCCCCCTTTGAGGCGCTCGCCCGTAGGCCCGTGGCGCGCGCTCACGCAGGCCGCCACGGCTCGCTTCTTTCTGGAGCGAGCATGCGTGAGAACAAATATGTAAGCATCGGCAAACATCTCAAGGTACGGCCTGGAGGGCACCGCGAGACGCGCCCGGACACATGCCCCTCCCCGCTGCTCTTATTTCTTCACCGCCTGTCTCTTTTGCTTTCTCTAACGCGCCGCTTCTCCCTCAAATAATGTCACTCACGACGTCGCGCCGCCGCGCCGCCGTCACGCACGCGTGCCGCTCCAATTTTGAAGGAAAGGGGAAGAAAGAAAGAGAGAAAGCGAATCGCAAAACGCACCCTGCTGCCCGCGAAAATACAAGGCGCCCCGCCGCGACTGGGGAAGTGCACCAATACCACTCCCTCGCCGCCCCGGGCCCCTCAAGGCCGACCCGGGGAGCGGGAGGGGGCCGGATTGGCGCCCTGGGCCCGCCCTGGCACGCTGGCCCACAAGGCCTGCTTAGACTAACACAGACCCGTTTTGAGCTCAAACACCATCAAAGAGAGTCATACGGTACCCGAGATGAATCCGCCCGATCGCGGGGCAATCCACTTGCACCGTCAAACAACGCCTTTTCCGAGCCGTTTCTGAGGAACGCAGCGCTGCGAATAAGGACCGCGGTGTTGGCCTAAACTGGTCTTCTGGCCCACAGCGCCGCGGGCGAGAGGGCAGGCAGGCGCGCCGGATGCAGAAAAAGGACTCGCCGCTCATTACTCAGTCCATTTTCATTCCTGGTTTGGAAATCACGCAAAGCAACGGCTCCCCCCTCTCTCCCAATTGGACCCCCCCCCCCTTTCCACTTCCGGCCCTTTCCGCGAAAGCCGCTGCTCAGATTCGCAATACATCTTGAGATGAAGCGCTGATCAAGGGCCCTGCCTAGCCCTGCCGCTACAATGGAATATCAACAGCCGTCTTTGTTTCTTTCCATTGTCTGGCGAGGTCGGCGCAATCAGACCCCTCACCTCCCCCCCCCTCCCCCTCCCCCACCTTCCGCATTTCACTTCCGTTCTCCCCATCAGGTCCGCCGAGCCTCCATTATGACTCCAGAGCTCATTTTCTTTAAGACTCTCCGGGGGCAGCGGACAGGAACACGAGGCTGCCGACACGCCGCGGCGCGCCACCTGGACCAAATTTCCCTCCGCGTCCAAATTTCGCCGCCCGGGGGAATGGCGAGGCCCTGGAAGGACGCGATGCAGGCGGCTGTTGCTTTGGCTCCTTTTTCAGGGTTGTATTCGTTCCGCGGTCCGCTTTCCCCTGCCTCCATGCAAACGAGCACTCGACTTACGTCAGACCCATCTTACACCACTGCAAGACATTCGCTCCAATTTTTGTTCTTTTTCCATGGGGATAAAACTCCGTGGAGTTTGGCACACGGCGTCTCTAAAGATTTTCATTTCGAAGAACACGGTAACGCAGGTACGAGAAACTGCTGAACCGTTGCGCTGCCGGCGAGCGCCTGCCGTGGAGAGGGTAGGCCAGCCGCTCGACGCGTGGCTCTGGCGGGCCGGCCTAGCCTTGCCCCTTGCGCCGACCGCGCAGGCCGCACAGGCAGTGCTGCACCGATCCCTGGCGGCCTGGCTCGGCTCGGCCTGCCTCGGCCTGCCTCGGCCTGGCTGCACCTCTTGAGGCCCCTCCTCCCCCTCCCCCTCCTCCTCCTCCTCCTCCTGGAGTCCTCCGTCCTCCTGCTCGGTCGTGTCTGTGATTGCGGGGGACGGCAGGCGACGAGGGTCTTCCCTGGAGACCCAGCCTTGCTGCCGGCCTGCCTGGCTGCCTGCCTGGCTGCCTGCCTGCCTGCCTGCCGGCCCCGGGTCCGCAGGTGTGCGAAGACCGGCAGGACACCCGATACAGGACGAGCACGGGCTGCCCTCTCACACTGCAAACCGAGCGCCGGTAGCGCCTGTGTCTTTATCTCGTCAGCGCTTCGAGAATGTGACGAAATTACCGAAATTGAAAATTAATGGTCAGGGTGCATTTATAAGCTCACTTGAATGCGTTCGCGCCGAAAAAGAGAAGTGCACCTAGCAAAGCCAGTACACTGCAAAGGGCCCTGCCCAATCAGCCGCGGGCAGGGAAACAAGGAAAAGGGAAAATTTGACGTCGGACGTGTCGGCAGCCTGGCAGCCCGACGGCTATCCTCACGGCTTTCTCACTGCAAAACCGATTTGCCATGAATCAGGGCCACCATTCAGGGCCCGGGCCCATTAGCCAATCAATTAACCGGCTCACAAAGGCCGAAATAAAATTTGCCCGCGCACAAAACTGCTAAATTGCTTTCCCCTCGAGAGAGGCCGCGGCTCGAGACTGCCAAAACAAGCGGGTCAGTGCTATCCGAGGGCCATTGTCGCCAAGGGGCGGAGACAGGTGCTGGACAGCAGTGGGCCCAAATTATTTCGCCATCAAAGGCCTTTCAAGAACAGAAGAACCCTGAGCTTAAGGGTCGTTATAGTTTGGCGGCTCTCGTGGCATTCCCGGGAAAGAACTGTAAAATAATCTGGACAAAAGGCGAGCGTTACTTTACCCGAGCGAAGCGCGCGCGCAATCCGCGTTTCGTCGCTTGCCGGCTCCGCCGCTCCCTTTTTCGCCGCGGAAAACTCCTTTTATTTTTCATCCCACAATGTACCCTCCTCGGCAGCTCCCTCATACATGCGGCGCTCTTCCTGACTATCTCCCGAATTAGGGGCTGAGCCCGGCGAACTTTGGCACCGTTCCCGAACCAACCCCCCACCCCCCTGCATTGTGTGGGATGAGTGCTGTGTGTTGGGTCAGCTCGACCACGGCAGTGTCGCGGGGGACCCGCCACGCCCCACCACGCCCCGCCACGCCCTCCTACGGCCCGGGCGTCCGCATTCTGCTTTGTGCGACCGCCAATCCACCGAGATTATATCACCCACCTACACAGCTACGAAAGGACCGGAACCGGAAACGCGACTTCATTGAAAAGATCGAATTTCATACGCTGCATCACGTGACCCCATCTCTTTTTACCGACATACTTTTAAATTTGTACAGAAAACCCTGAGCTGTCCGAATTTTTTTTCTGGAGCAGTGCGTGGTCAACAAGGAAGGGCGACTTTTCGTTACTTACGTGTAGATGGGCCGGCCGAGGGCGTCGCTGTACCACAGCACAAGCGTGACGGCGTCGCCGTGCTCGTGGCCGATGTCGCATGGCAGGAGCACGGGCATGCCCGCCACGGCGGACACATGCGTCACCGGGACTGCAAATCACACAAGAAAAGAGCACGGGTAAGTAACATGCTTTGGAAAGGAGAGAAAACAAATCCTCATACGCAGCATTAGACGCTGGCGAAATCCAGGACCGAGGCTCGCGTTCCAACGTTTCTCGCCCGCACGCCTCGGCTTGGCTCGGCTCGCCCACGACGGCCCCATGACATTCCACACATGCCTGCCGCTCGGCGTTCCAAAGCGAAGAATCCCAGCGCCAGAAGCCCGGCCGCGCGGCGCCGTTTAAATCGGCGGCAGCCAGCGGCTCGCGCGTGTTAAATGGAACATAATGATGCAAGCGCGGCGGCTGATATTTATGTCGCTGTCAGACGTAAGCCGCATTAGGCCAAGGGGAGGGAAGGGGGTGGGGGCAGAGAGCAGACCGAGAGGGCTGCGAATAGCAGATCTCGAAAACGTGTGCCTGCAGCAGCGGGAACCCCAACCCCGATCCGCACCAATATGCTCCCTCTTCCTCTCGCTTCCTCCACCTCTCTCACTCTATCCCCAGCTCAGCCCAGCTCATACCAAGACGTCCGATGCGCGGGGGGCGGCGGGGAGGCGCCGGGTACCCCCCAAAATCACAGACGGGAGTTAAATGGAACTGCTTCCACGCGGCGATGGCGCGGCGTGGCGCGGCGTGGCTCGGCGCGGCCAGGGATGGGGTCGGCTTCTTAACGACCAATGGAGTCAAATTATTAGCCGCGCGCTGGGATCTCTGTGTCCCCTAATGGCCGACAACCCCCTCCGACCCAAATACAGCGTCTCTGCCTCTCTTGCACTCACGGGGCGTACCGCAGAGCGTGAGAGAGAACGCTACCGACAAAAAGCGCAGTTCAGAAAGAGCCTGCAGTCTCTGCGTCGTGCCGTGCAAAAGGCGGCATGTTTTGTCGGTGTTTGTGTGTGTGTGCGGACAGAGAGGGGGGAGCAACAATGCGGTTCCCCGAATGATTCGAGAAGAAAGGACTCATAAACCAGAGGGCGATAAAAGCCGCCGCCAAAGACACAGCGTCCTGTTTGATTCCCGGGAAGAGTCTTTGGGCCGCCAGGCCTAATCAGGCGATTTGCACAGCCGGCTTTAGTTGGTTTAAACTGCTAATTGATGCCTCCTCGGCCCTTTAATCTGAGTCTCGCTGCGCCGCCAATCGGCCCAATCCAATGGCTTCCCTGCGAAGGCGGCAAAAACAGAAATCGTGTATTTAAAAGATGCGAAAACGCACGCACGTGGTATTGAAGCCTGCAATCAAATATGTGCTGGGGAGAATGAACACAAAATCGGGTGATGACGGCACAACACAGACAAGTCAGGAGAAGAAAGTGTCGGAATGGAGATACACGACGAGATCTCGTTCATGACTTGGAATAAAAACCATAAAAATGATCGGGGCGGGTCGAGGCGCGCGCAGCAGCCCTCACAAAACTTTGGCCATCCAATAAACATGCCAAGTGTGCTGGCGAGGACAGGATGACAGGATCAGGATGAGAGCACAGCCGCAACGCGTGCCTGGAAAATGACTGCAAGCGCTCGCCACAGCGACGCCGGCAACTGGACCGTGAACAGGCATTCGCTGCAGCCCCGCCAAAAGCCGACGCGTCGGATACACACACTGGCGCACATGCGAACTAGTTTACAAAATGATTCACGGTACCGACGTGACAGGTAGCTACCGGTTCTAGCATGCGCTACTGGAGGGAAACCCACGGTGAAATATTGAGGCGAGATGCAGAGAAAATAATGAGGCAGCTGAATAAGAACCGTGGCGACGTTTTTATGCAGGATCCGATAACCATGCCTTGGATGGACCGCGGTCAGCCAACGTGAACCAATCGATGCATAGTCCCTGTTACTCTTTCATACGTTACGAGCAAAACAAAGACGGCAAAACACTTCATCCCATTTTTCAATCTCACGCGACTTCGCATTTCGCCCCCAAGCCCACTGCCCCCGAACAAGGCAGGCGTCAAAACAAGGCAGGCGTCAAAACAAGGCACTGCAATACAGCGGCATCGCGTCGAAGTGGCAAGCCGTATCGGAGAATCTTTCGCCGAGCGGGAACAACTTAATCTCTCGGACTCAATCCGGCTAAACGTTTTACTTCTCTCGCTCGTCGTAAAAGTAAGGGAAGAGATGAGGGAGGGAGGGAGGGAGGGGCTGCGGAGCGGAGCGAAGAGGTCACCACAGCCCCACATGGCCTCCGTGCGAGTAGTAAAGTTTCTGTTTTGGGGCCAGAGCAGAGTGCACAATACACACAACAAGCGCTGTTCGAGGTAGAGGTTCGGTTTCCCTCCAAATAAATTTGTCACACTGATACAAATTCTTTTCTGCTTTTCTTCACTCGATAAAGTTGTTGTGTACGCGCGGCCTGTACTGCGACACTCGGGGCTCCTAGAATCGAACTGCATTATGAGCGTGCTGCGGAAATAAGTTGGGCTGCGTCCGCCTGCGCCCGCCTGCGCCCTGCCGCAGTGGCGCTGTGCCGCTAATGGCTCCGAGGAGGCCCCCTGCTGAAACATTCAGGGCCGGCGGGCCGGGCCGAGCCGTGCAGGTGATCCGTCGCAAGGCAGCGGACCTTCTTTGCAACAACTTCTCCACCCTCATCTGCCACCCCTCCCCCTGCCGGGACCCGGCCCGGGGCCCCAGTTGTTGTTTTCCCCGGGATCATAATTTTGAGTTAAGCGGACACGAGTTTGTAAAGTTAATGCGTCCGAATGCCCCACACCAGTGCAGGGCGCGGCGAGTGCGCATTACAGCACGACACAAATCAACGGCCAAATGGCCGCCAAGCCCCTGTTTTGCACCTTGCTTATCTTTTTCCCTAAACCAAAAAAAAGATTAGGCAAAAAAAAACAGTTGAAACCTTCCGAAAAGAAAAGCGAGGCGTGAAATCAAAGGCGGCATTTGAACTGCAAATGAGCAAAGTGAAATGATAGAATTGTGATGGGGCGAAAAAATTGTTCCGCGTCAAGGGTAAAGGAAACCTGGCGACGCTGTCAGTAAGGGGTTGACACAAGAGGTGAGTGCCGATGCCGGTGGTAGCAAGTGCAGAAGATGTGGTGGTTATGGTGATGGAGAGAGGTATGGTAGGAGGTATGGTGGTAGGTGGTGGTAGGTGGTGGCAGCTGCGGCTAATGGATCCGGCCCGCAAGGCCTGGACGCTACACGACCCCTGGCCCTGGGCTGTGCGCGTTTGGGTGTGCATGTGTGTGTGGTGGTGAGAGAGTGCGCCCGTGTGTGTGCCTGAGTTGGTGTGTCCGTGTGGCTTCTTGACAGATGGCTGAGCCCCCTCCCACGGCGTTCAACACAGTCCTTGCCAAGGCTGGCCTTGCTGTCCGCGCGGGGCTCTGCAGGCCGATTCCGCACAGGCTTTCTGTCTCTCTCGCACCTGGACGAAAGGCCTCAGGAGTGCGAGAAAGCCCGAGCGGAAGAACGCCGTTCGGACCGCTCTGCTGCCTTGTAACGCCATGGTCTTGCGCCCCCGTGACGGCCGAATGTTTTTAACCGAGCCGCGCACTCCATCTCTCTTCCTTTTCTCCACTCTCTCCTCTCTAGCCATCCTCCTTCCCCGCCGAGCCCTGCAAGCAGTCCTCCGACCCCTTTTCTCGCCGAGATTGGAGTTTGAAGTAGGATTTCTCGAAGCCCTGTCGCACAGCGTCCCTCAAGTCCGTCGCTGACAGAGCGGTAAGGGACCCCGGCTCAAAAGCCCACACCACACGCAAGGGGAATTACTTCCCCGGCAGCTCTTTAAAATTCAGCGCGAGAAAACAGCCTGAACACATTTGAATTCCTTCATTGAAACGAAATGCTTTGCCTGTTACGCACTTTAAGTTCCAACCCCGCGACATGACTCCGATTAGTCATACACTTCCTGCCAGCCGGTGAGCCGGTGGGGTCGATCTCGCACCGCGGCTTCCCAAATGTTTATGCAGGGCGATTGTGGTAGGAGGGAGTGGAGGGGGAGGGGCCTCGTTCTTGGCGGGAGGTGTACCTCCCCGCAGGGGGTCCACTTCGCGCACCGCGTCCGCCCCCCGCTGAGGTCCTTGGCACCGACGGGGGTTTCAATTATTAGTGACGGCGCTAGTGGCTGCCCTTGAGATTGAGCCGAAACGTATCTGCCAGTGGACTGGCCGAGCCGTAGTTGGAACCGGAGCCCCAGTTAGAGCCCGAACCACTGTCTGGGCCAAAGCCTGAGCAGAACCGCAACTCGAATTCCCTATAAGCAAAGGCCTAGTGTGAGAAGAACGAAAGGGCTTTAAAAGTCCGTTTGACCCTTATTTCCCCCTGAGTCTGTGAGTGTAGTGTTCTGCTTTAAAACGATGTACTTTGCCTACAAGAGCTCTGGGACTTTTGAAGCAACGTCGGTATCATCATGTTCCCTTCCAGGCCAGCCCTGTTCACCTTTAATTGGCGTCTTGTCCAGCGTTGTTCGAAGATGTGCTCATCCAGGCGGGGCGACTACCAGCGCAGATCCGATACGCACAACGCGCTGGAGACAGAATCCAGCGAAAACAGGAAATGGAGTAGCGACGGGGGCAGGCCCAGACAGACCGCCAGTCCACGTGGCAGGCGGGTATGATGTGAGTAGATATGGGGTGGAAATTGGGATTGCCGGCTCCAGGGCGAGGGGTGGGGGAGCATTGCAGCCCACGGACGGCAAGTAGCGGGAGAGCAGGAGGAGGATGCGGGAGGAGAGAAGGGGTGACACACAATGAGACGTAAAGAGCAAGCGGGACGCCATTAGGGCGCGGTGGAGGGGGTGGGGGGAGCATGAAGCAGTATGAAGAGGATGGCCCTGCTTCGCCCTGCCTCGCCCTGCCTCGCCCTGCTTGCTCGGGGAGGTGAAGCACCACGGCGTCGCAGTGCACATGTAAGGAGTGGGGGCCGCGATGTGCGCCCCTTGCCAAATGAGGGCAATCGTCTTGCAGCGCATCGCACGTGTGTCGGCCGTGTCGGCCGTGCGAGTGTGGGCGTCCCCCATCGCGGCGTTCCTACGATCCCGGTGCACTTTCGGCGGGCCCTTTGAAAACGTACACCGTAAGACTGGACTTTCACCGAAGTGGTCCCCGTGCGCCGAAATCCCTGTGACGGAGATGGAAAGCCGTCGCGGGCGGATTTTAACGCCTTCTTTTTAATCGCATTTGCACACAATAGAGCATAGGCCTTTAGTGTG